CTCACACACACAACTCATACACCGAACACACACACACACACATGCAACTCATACACCGAACACACAGATGCAACTCATACACCGAACACAAACACACTCACAACTCATACACCGAACACACACACACACACATGCAACTCATACACCGAACACACACACGCACACACACACACACACACACACACACACACACACCACAAAAACAGTACATAAGTGCATTAGTAGATCACCATTACATGAATGCAGTCATTCTTTATTGTCACTTTGCTTTCTTCATGTAAATAACTTAATAAAATAAAAGCTAGTGATGCAACAAAATTTCAGCAATCAAAACATTTAGGCTGAAATGGCAATTTTCGGTAGAGGGCCGAAATCATTTACCTAATTAGTGCTTCTCCTATGGTGCTTTTAATTTGTTTTCATTTTTTTCTAAAAATACAGTAAAAAACATTTAAAAAATCTTAATGATCCCAAACTTTTGACCAGTACTGTATGCACTCTATTACATATTCATTATATTTTTACTTCATTATCTAATGTTTGTTTGAATTTTTTTTTACTACAGCCACCATTTAAATGCTTATATTTCAACAACAAAATGAGTAGAAACATAATTCTGTTATTAAAAATGTGTCTTATGTGCACTTTAAATGTTTGTACAAATGTTTGTTTTTATTTGAGTGTTGATGATTAAATGCATTTAATTCATTGACTGATTATTAAATAAACTATTTTCAGTTTTGGTTTTTGGAAAACTTTCATTTTGGTTTCAGTGTTTCGGTAAACATTTCATTTCAGTGCATCACATAAAAGCTTTAAAAGTGCTGATGAAATATGTTTCACTATTAAACCCTATTGAACTCCTTCAGTCTCCATAGATGATGTTCCTGAGAGAATCACTTCAAGCACCTAACATCTGTGCCTTCAGGAGTGAGTGAGTGTGTGTGTGTGTGTGTGTGTGTGTGTGTGTGTGATTCTCACCTCTGCCGGGTCTCAGGGCTCTGAGCAGAGCCGTTTTGAGGGCACTGGAGCCGTGCAACAGCCGGTGGGAGGGCAGGACTGAGACATAGGCCGCTCCGAACACAGCCTCTGGAGAACCGGTGTATGCAGCCAACACCTCACCTGAGTCACGACCATCCACCTGACAAACAGATGCAATAGATGCACACAGACTTTAATAAGCACAAATATCCTCCCACAACAGAAAACACAACAGACTCGAAGAAACAAAGCTGTACACGCAGTACACAGCCTGCAGCCAAACTCCGAATCAAACCTGATGAAATGCACCCGCTCATATGCCCCAGCATGAAAATTCATCATTTCATAGAAAGCACTGTGTGAGCGGTTAGCAGTAAATACAGCTCTGAAAGAGCTGCGGAGCTGATGAAAACCAAATCCTGTCTGGTTGCACAAGAGCTGTAAGTGTATTTCACAGATGAAGCATTCAGTACCTTCATTATGTGGTTGAAAAAGCAGCCTGAGCAGTCGCCAATCCAGTTGGCCTGCATACTTTTGACTCCATACCATTCGGGGAGATCTGCCAAAGCATCCAGAAGAGGCTGCAAGACAGAATTCTGTATTAATAACTAATAAAAATCATAAATAAATAAAAACATGGCAATATATTTAATTAATCTAATCTCTCTAAATATACACTATCATGAGCAATTATGAAAGAAAAAAAAAAAAAAAAAAGTTTCTTATGTTCACCAAGGCTGCATTTATTTGACACAATAAAAACAGTTAACTTGTAAAATATTGTTACAATTTAAAATAGCTGTTCTGTATTTTAATATATTTTAAAATGTAATTTATTCCTATGATGTAAAGCTGAATTTTCAGCATCATTACTCCAGTCTTCAGTGTCACATGATCCTTCAGAAATCATTCTAATTCAAGAAACATTTCTGATTACCATCAATTTTGAAACCATCATACATCTTTCTTTCTTTTCAGGATTCTTTGGTTTCAAAAGAACCACATTTATTTGAAACAGAAATCTTTTGTAACATTATATGTCTTTACTGTCACTTTTAATTAATTTAATGCATCCTGGTTGAATAAAAGTATTTAATTTCCCCCCCAAACTTTTGTACATGTAAATATATTACCTATTTCTGGTTTGCCAACTAAAATATTTCCAAACCCATTGCAGTCTCAGTAGTGCCATTACTAAATGAAGCAATGCTTTAATAAATTGGTTAAGTGAATAATTCAACGCCTCATCGACGTTCCTTTACAATCCAGAAAAGTGTTCATGAGCACCCCGTTTGTGGTCCCTATTTGCAATATTTTCTCCCAAGTGGTCAGGAATTAGCATGGTCGTTCCCTGCTGGTAGACGCCACCACTACATCATTCAGCAAGACGAAACTGAGCAAAGCTGTGTATAGGTTGCACACTTTTAGGGAGTCCTAACCACCATTGAGATGAATGGGAAGGCTAATGGACAACTTTCTCCAAGTATTATAGACTTCCTTGATCTCTCCATGCTGATGTCATGCAGCCCCAGCTGTTTTAGCAAAAAAAGCTCAATTGGCATAAAACGAGCGACTGCCTTCACATTACAAATGAAGAGCAAAGCTTAAAGAAAACCTCATGAACTGCTCAAAGTCTCAACACACACACACACAGACTCAGGCTGAAAAAATAAACTCTTGGGGGTGAAGGAGAAAGGATGAGGCAGACGATGGAAAAGAGGAAGCTATGCATAATAACGAAGGTTCAGGCCGAAAGGCTCAGCTGGGCTGCCGAGCACTGAAAGGATGGGATATGAAAAGCTAACGGTTGGGGTTTGACATCTCGCTCCTCTCTGTCACTAGCCATTAGCGGTCTCACTCACAAGAGGCTTCGCTCCCTGAGCGCTAAACAAATAGAAAATAATTGAAGGGCCCCAAATGTTGTCCGCTTCCTCGGCACTCCACTCATTAGCGACTCGGACGCACTCGCAGGAAGGACATTTTATACTTGCACGAAGAGGCGGAAGGGGGTAGAGATGTGGCCGTCTCATTTTAGAGAGCTCAAATCACGGTATTCAAATCTTCAACTCATTTGAGCAGAGCGTTCTACAAAATGAGATCTGAACAAGACAATGCGAGCAGTTTTTGAAATGCGTAAATGTCCTGAATGTCATTCTTTCAGCTAAAACACTTTCTTCCAGTCTGATGTCTCGGGAGAACTATACATAAGCCAGTAGATTGGCTTCTTGAAGTATGTAAACTGGAAAATTTGATGTTTATCTGCTTACCCCCAGGGCATCCAAGATGTAGGTGACTTTGTTTCTTCAGTAGAACACAAACGAAGATGTTTTAAGTCAAACCAAAAGTTTGAAGTCAAATGAACCATTGACACTCTATCTACAATCTACAATTAGGAGTGTCAATGGTCCATTTGAGAGATTGGTGGCGATAATGCACTTATAAGTCTGTGATCCGCCGTAAAGCAAGAAGAAGAAGACGCGAACACGCTCAGGACAGTTGGGACATTGCGGTGAATCAGAGGTAAAAAACGATATAAATACTGTTCAGTTTCTTGCACAGACCGATCGTTTCGTGTCTTTACACATCAATGTATCGTCACGAACTGCAGGGTTTAATTTAGTTTTGTTTGTGTATGTTTTTTTTGACTCTCAAAGCCGTAATTCCCATTCACTTCTGTTATATGACTGACAGACTGCAACGGTTTGAGTTAAAAATCTTCGTTTGTGTTCTACTGAAGAAACAAAGTCACCTACATCTTGGATGCCCTGGGGGTAAGCAGATAAACATCACATTTTCATTTATGGGTGAACTGTCCCTTTAAAGCATTACTCTGGAGAAACCTCATGTGTTTAGTAGCGTGTCAATCCTCTTCCATTCTTAATTGTTTTTTGACAGACCTCGACGCTGCAAAAACACAAAAGAAATGCAGCAGATCTAAATCTAATTCCGCCATCAACACTTTTCTTTTTTTTTTTCAACATTTTTACTTTAAATGTGATAACCATAATTAATTGTGCTTCTATTTTACCTCCTTATCTTGAATTTGTGTGATATTTTTGTTCATTTTGGTGGCATTTTTGCCCCCCGTTAACTTCCAACCCTGGGTTTACAACCCTACCAAAATCACATTGTTTCAGGTTGACTATAAAACTGCAGTTACAGTGACCCAATGTTCACCAAAGATGTCCATGTAATTTCTGATTTTGATTCTCACAGCCTGTAATGCAGAAGAGGATTTTATCAGCCAATCAGGCCTGCCAGCATTCAGTCTACAAACACGCTTAGATTTGACTTGGACACACTGCGAGGTGTAAGAGGCAAACAAAACGCTCAAAGAGTCAAGAACGGCAGAAGAGCCAAACCAAAAGCTACATCTCTCTATTCAAACCTGTCCATGTTTTCAAATAAAACATGGTTCAACAAGACTATAGAGAACATTTCTGATAACATATAGAGAGTCTCCATGGCAACGCACAAATCTATGAAACGGTGGAAAAAGTGATGCAAGGTAGCAAGTGTTTGGTAATCTGTTAGGAGAAAAAACTATTTGCATACACGTTGCATGACTGCATGTTCAAGGTTTAATGAAAAGAGCGCTTTAATGAACTGGATGTGAAAATATTCCTGCACAAAACTCAGCGCCATGATGTTAGGGAGTTGTGGGAAGGGTATCTCTAAGGTGTTCTGGGTGGTTGTTTATTAGCCTACATCCTATAGAAAGTCTCTATGAAGGTCCCTCCTTCAGTGTACACTGTTGGGGTCACTAAGATTTTGTAAAGAAATGAATACTTTTGTTCAACAAGTATTAAATTTTTTGCATAATAGACATTTAAAGTGATATAAAAGATTTCTTTTTCAAATAAATTTTGAACTTTTCTACACTGATAATAATCAGAAATGTTTGTTGAGCAGCAAATCAGCATATTAGAATGATTTCTGAAGGATCATGTGACACTGAAGACTGGAGTAATGATGCTGAAAATTCAGCTTTGATCACAGGAATAAATTACATTTTACAATATATTCACATAGAAACTTCTTTTAAATTGTAATAATATTTTAAAATACTTTTGTACAGATACATTTATTTATAAAAAAAAAAAAGAATGAAATTCTTGGAGAGAAAAAAAAAAAACTTTGGCTGGTCTTTTTGGCTGGTCTTTTTTTATTATTATTCATATTTGGAAACCTTTTGTCTACCAGATCTAAGTCATGTGGTGCAACCAACATGTAGAATAACAGGAAATGATATCATTTAAACCCTCCTGACTACATATCAAGGCCAACAAGTCTCCTAAAATATCAGATAATTTGACAAAGCAAGGCTAGATCAGGTTGTCAAATGTCATGTGGTGCAACTCCCCCAAAATATAAATTCTATTTATATAAATTTATAATTTGTACAGATACATTTATTTATAAAAAAAAAAAAAGAATGAAATTCTTGGAGAGAAAAAAAAAAAACTTTGGCTGGTCTTTTTGGCTGGTCTTTTTTTATTATTATTCATATTTGGAAACCTTTTGTCTACCAGATCTAAGTCATGTGGTGCAACCAACATGTAGAATAACAGGAAATGATATCATTTAAACCCTCCTGACTACATATCAAGGCCAACAAGTCTCCTAAAATATCAGATAATTTGACAAAGCAAGGCTAGATCAGGTTGTCAAATGTCATGTGGTGCAACTCCCCCAAAATATAAATTCTATTTATATAAATTTATAATTTATAATTTATGTTACTTTCAGCTATATATTTAAAACAGCTTTCAAAATAATGATAAAGATGTGTGCAATCACATTTATACAAGGTGTAAGAAACATGCTGCTTCTGGTTTCACCAAATGACATTTTTAATGGGCAGGACAATTTTTCAGATATGCACAAATAAACACACACACACACACCCCTCCACTACTGAGAAAATGAGTCTCTGTGAATCGCAGGAACATGCTGTGTCATTTCAACACATTCGACAGAGACAGAGAGTGAATCAACATACACTTGCATACTGTTTCAGTGAGCAGCTTTGAACTGATCTAAAGCACCATCCTACACAAAACTGAACTGATCTGGAACTCTAAACAGGAAGCAACTAGACACAAACACAATGGAGATGCTACTGACGTCTACAACATTTGCTGTTAGCATCTTAGATAGCACACGTACATCTGCAGGATGTCTGTTAAAGATCGCTTCATCTGGAAAGTATCTGCTGTGTACAAACATCTGATAGACGTCTTTGAGACGTCAGTTTTACATGCATTCTAAATCATAAACATCTTCAAGACATCTTCTAAACGTCTATTTGACATCTGATTAGGAAACGTCCTGTAGATGCATTGCAGATGAGCAAACACTCTAAAAAATACGTCTTGCAGATGTAAATGCAGACGTCTCCGTGATATACGTGTGCTATCAGGGATGTTGCTAAGCTAAAGACACATTACTCAAAAAAAGTTAGTTGTTAATTAGATTAAGTTTGATGACATGCTTGTTGGCTTGACAAAGCCTGGCCTAGTTCTATATAGTTCTAAAAGCTTGAAGTTTAAAGGTTTAGGTTTGAGATTCTATTGTCAGA